GAAAGTACATATATTTATAAATGTACGTGTACACAAACTTTTTAGATTGGACTAACTCCTTAATACCAGAGTCTGAGAAGAGAGACCTGTATGTTGGAGTGGTCAGTAAAGATCTGTTTTGGTTAGAATCTTCTGCAGCTCCATTGATTGAGTGAGCATTAACAATCTCATGAATATTTTTGTTAGAGTATTCGCGGCTTCCTTATAATTAACACATTTTTAAGGTCTATGGGTTTGACTCTATATCGACCAAGCCTGAATGAGTACAACGTAAGGGTATTGCCACACGAATTACAAAGGATGAAAAATTCGCGGTTAATCCTATTAATTGTACCGCAGCACTCTCGTGGCATTGCTATAATGGCATTAGCAGCTCACTTGATTGGAATACGTGCTAAGCTTGTCCTGTGTGTTCAAATTCTCCCCGAGGGTTGCATTATTTCTGGTGAAAAGGTGAGATCATTATTATTTAGAGTTATCGTAATATTTCTTTTATTGCATTAAAAATTTTTAAATATATTATATTCTGATAAAAATTTAGTTAACCGAACAAGCCACGAAAGACTATAATCGGGGAAGGATGTACCTGTCGGACTATGCAAAGCGCGAAGGTGTACCTGTTTTTCAGAATATCGCTGATGCACTGCAACATGCGATACAGCTAGTTCAAAGTCCCTGTTGACTTAACTCCTCTTCTTTTTTCTATTTTTTCGTACGAATGAGATCATAGATTCGACGATTAATTTATTTTTATTCTACGATGTCCAACTACCATTTGAGATTTACGGGACAATGGGTGGAGGCAATACAAATTGTTTATCATTCTTGTTTCTACAAATATTAACTAAAACTTATATTATTATTACTGACATTTCAAGATAAGATATTGTTAATATCTCATTATATAGCGCGATTGTTTTTCGTATAAAGATATGATTTTTTTTTTCTTACACTTTTACTATTGACTAATATAGAATAATATACTGTGCGCACTACTATAGGATCATGAGATTTTTACAATTAAAAAATATTTTTTGTTTCATACAGCAAAGCAAAAGAAATGGAAGAAATGTTTATGTTGCTGTGTTTAAGAAGTTCAAAATTAATATTTATTATATATTTTATTTTTTGATAGAAAATATATTTTTTAATTACAATTTTATATTTTATTTCAAATACATTCACTGTTGTATTTCTTTTCTTTTCTTTTTTTTTTTTTTTTCTTTTTTTTTTCTTTTTTTTATTTTTATTTTGTAGAAACATTAGTGAAAGTAAAAGAGTGCAGCTAATAATTTTATTTTATACGTTTTTTGCTTCACGAAATGACTCTTTTTTTTTGTATAAATGGCGATGCAAATAATCTCCTATGGTAGATGGACACATTTTTTATAGTAATTTAACTTGCAAGTTTTTGTAATCTTGTGGTAACTGGTTGAGGATTGATTTGATATACGTGTACATAGACTATTAGTTATTTCTAACGATCTAATGATAATTAATCTCAAATTTGATGAAAAGATTGTATGGGAGGATGGTATGTTTGCTCGAGTTGAGTGTAAATCTCCATCGTGTACGTGAATAAATATATATGTACACATGGTAGCATATCTTCTTATATTATGACATACGAAAAGTTTCATTTGTCATAATTAGCAAAATGAAAATTATAGGCAACTAGAATTTTTATGTATGAAAGAAAAAAAAAAGAGTGTAATTACTTATTTGTAACTTTCAAATTGTTTGAAGCTCAGAGACCTTATTTACAAATAGACATTGCAAATGGCTCAATACAGAAGAGTCATTTATTATACTCCTCTTTTGGAAGTATTTTCATAATATCACGCATTCTTTTTTTTCTTTTTTTTCTCTTTATTAAAAAAAATTATTTTTACGCTTTCCTGACATTTTTCTTTGAAATGTGTAAAGACCGAAAGTGTAAAGCTTTTATAACGAACAGAAATTTATAATGAACAGTAAAATTATCTCTGAACACACACACACACACACACACACACATATATATATATATATATATATATATATATATATGCATATGTGACCAAAATAAAAAAAAAAATTATTTCTATTACTATTTTGGAAAAAAAAAAAGAAGAACCCCTTCAACTTTTACTTTATTTCAAATAAAAATTGCTCGTAGATCTCAATATATTAAATAATTTATATCACTGTACTTTCTCATCTCTTACTTTCGTCGAATCTTTGTTCGTTTTATTTTGAGTAGTTACCTTTTTCGCATCGGTTTTTCCACCTCTGTAATATTGTAATATAGTTTTAAGAGACAACAAGACAGGAATCATTGCCGGTAAAAATAAAGGTGTATATACAGCATATCTGAAATAAGATATTAAAATTTAAATAAAAATTTGTTGTAAAAGAGAGTTAAAAAAAAAAAGAATAGCTTACTTTTGATCTTCTGGAAAATAAAGAAGTGCTAACAAAGTTGGATCGGAAAAAGCTTCTTCGGCAGTAATAAATGCATCTTTACTGAGGATAAAACCATTCATAAGATCACCATGTCTAAGGAGTTCAGCAGAACGTTCCACCAAATCTAACGCAACTTTTATTCTATTTCCTACAACATCTGTAATAACGATACGGTTGATCTCTGTGAGAAGTTGAGCTAATGATTGCAATGTTAACTTAGCAGAAGTTAACTGTTCCATGGCACGAACTCGCAGCAAAGCATCTACTTCCCAATCACGTGATTTCAATCCAACCAGTGGTACTACGGTTACACTGCTTATAGGCTTCTGAAATTATAAATGAAATATTTTTATCGGTTAATTGACAATTGTTTGTATTTTCAAATGAATTACCATTTCTGGAATGCCTAAAAGCAATCTTAGTTGTGCAAGAAACGTCCCGATGATAGTGGCTTCGTCGGGAATAATGGTAGTAGCTTTACCACGTGCTGCAGCTTCGCATGCTTCAAATGAAGGATTAGTGAGCACAACACCACCCCATCTAATATATATATATATATATAATTTATATTAATATATACAGAGAAGAGAAAGAACAATATATCGCTTTTGTAAAACTTATATACCTTGGAGATAAAAATGCTTCAACGCCACTATCAATCGTTGATTTGTGACCATTACGCGTATAAATGTATAAAGGAGCATTATCACATGGAACTATGTATGCTACAAAATTTATGCACGGATGAAGACTCACTTGAGATGCTAGAATTAGAAAATTGATGTTTTTCTTTTTATAAAGAAATACAGAGAATTACTCGGATATTTCTTTTAATGATTCATCGAAAGTTTTACCTAATTTTTTTTCTAATGGTGTTACAATATGTGGTAAAACATCTTCCACCAGACCATAATGTCTACCCTGCGAGCTACTGTCGGGAACACGTATTGGATTAACGCCTAGTGGTAATAAATATAACCACTGTGACTTCACCGAAAAATTGCTTACCATCGACAATTGATCGAGGAATGGCTCTATGTACTCTAAATAAAATAGACATTTATTTATGAACACATGCTATATATAATAATCGTCTATGTGAATGATTATATAATATACAATAATAATATATACCCTCGGTCATTGTCCGAAGATCCCAATTGACTTTTAGTGTTTCAGGATCGGGATTCACTATAGTTATTAAAACATCATAAGCTGAACTAGCAGGAAATCTCCGTCTATTTTCTTCGTCAAGACTGTAATCTGTAGGATTTGTAAGCGCATTTTTAGTAAGATTTAACGATTTCTCACGAAGGATCCATTCGGATAGCACTTGTACCAATTTTTCATTGCCTGAAAAGATTTTGATCATTGTAACATTGTGTACTCATTGTGAAATACAAAATTATTGTTAAAAATAAGATATTACTTGTCTCGATAGAGAAGTATATAGTCCTTTTAGAGCCAACGAGTACGGCATCATTTAGATTTGGAGATTCTAAAAGCAAAAGATTGCCTACATCCAAATCGAAGGTAGAAGCGATTTTTTCCGACTCGTGATGGGCGAAAGCTAATGCCAAAAGATTGCTAGATACCACTTGATATATAACTTCCAAATCGTAAATCTCTGAAATGGTGGAGTAACATGATCGAAAGGACAATGAAAAAACTAATCAAACAATGTATTATGTATGTTATCCATAAATGTTTCTTTAAATTCTATACACGAAATTCAACACTTGTGTCATACATTAAAAGAGGTCAATGTAAAGAACATACCTATAAAGAGATCAAAAGATCATTCTACTCACGTATTTTAATAGGAAGTTAGTTTCGACTAACAAGAACCCTGATAATAAATGAATTCTAAAAATATCTAAATATGTTATACAAATACCACTGGCTTCGAATGTTCTTCTTATTTCTTCAGTTAATGTAATTGCTCTTTCATCGGTGAGAGCAGCAACAATAATCTTCGTTTTGATTTTAATTTCCAAATTTGATAATTCATCGATTCCAAAATAGGGAAGTGCCACCCGTGGTACAGTTGTCATGTACCACCATAATGGAACACCAATTCCTAAGAGTATTACCGCGAAGGATATGCTGGCATATACTCTATATTTTTCTGTAAAAAAAATCGTAACATATAATTAAAACATGATATTCAAATCGTTACATCGATCATTACAATATCGATCGAACATCAAAATAATAAATGAGACATAGAACGATAAACATATGTATAATTTTTATGCATACAACTTTTCCATTTGTATGGCGTAAAACTTATCGCAACAAGAAATTGGATTTTACATAGCCAAGATTTTGTGAGATAATACGACATGATCGCGTTTTTATCAATAAACGATATTACAATTGTTTTATTTTATTTGTTTTACATCGTTCACCATGGCCTTGGCAAGAAACAACAAGTGTTTCTTATTCGCCACGACAACCTTCAAAGTGAATTGAACTAGGTCCAAATCGGTTGCAAGTATTCTGGCACGATACGAAGTATGACGTTAGTTAAGTGTATTAGTCGAACTTGTACAGTAGCAGTGTCACTTCTTCCTGATTCAATTTTTAATTAATATAAAAAGATGCTCCGAATAATTTCTTTCTTATATTTGAAAAACAACAATGTTACTGTGCACTTTAAAAATAAATAGAGATGTACAAATAAATCATTTGCATGTTATAGCTTTTTTATATTTACTCTTTATACAGGATAGTGATATCATCCTAAAACGTGTTCATCCATTGAAAGAAAATTATCTTTAAATTTATATTTATACGGCTACGAAGAATGGATTATTTCATCTCTATTAAAAATATAATTGATTGATCGTTCAAGGAAAAAGGTATGCTAGTATCTGTCTATTTTAACTAAACGAGTGATTAGTTCCTAATATTAACAGATAACATCTCGATGAGTTGCATTAATAAAATCTGAAATCTTTTTATTTCACATTGGATGATCATTAAATAAACGTACAATAAAGCACGTTGTCTTTAGCAAAATTTTACATTAAAACGGAGTTTCATCATTCATACAAAGATACACCTACGACATTTGAATGTCTCCCTCTTTATCTATCATATGTTATCCCTTTATATTTATCCTACAGTAAAGTGTCATTGTGTGATAATAATGTTTGTATGCGAAGAGATAAGAATACATGTAATAAAAGTATGAATTATAATTCACACTTCTTATTGACTAATTATTTAAAGAAAAAAATAATATTGTGTTCGCAAATATATAATTAATAATTAGATTAAATTTGAAACTTCATTCGTTTTGATCTTAATTTGAAAAATGAAATAGTAAATTTGGAAATTAAATATAATTTATTTTACGTTCAATCTTTTATGTGTGCTATTCCTTGTTTATATGTATATTACGTAAGAGCATACGATTTCCATCGTTAATCAGACAATGTAGAATGATAATTTAATATAATCCCACATGAATATAGACCTGTCTTTCTTTTATGATTGCACGTTATACCGTATATTTTAAAAAGTAACAGATTCATATGGATGAAAGATTTGATAGGAATATTCATCTTTGTTATTGTCAGGAGATTGAAAGTCAAATGTCTGAACAGACAACTCAAATTATGTGCATACACGAAAGTGTATAGATATGTAAAGTTATTCCAAGAAAAAAAAAAAAAAATTCATCCAAGTAATCTATCCTCCTATCTTTATACTTTAAGTTACAATATGCGGTATAATTTATTTTTTTTTTCCAATATTATAAATATATAGATGTACGTAGAAAAAAGAGAGAGAGAGGGAGAGAGAGAGAGAGGAATAATATACTGAATGAGATTGATAATATAAAAATACTATAGTCGATCCTTCATCGTATTTTACGAATGACCTGCTACCTCAATGACGTGTTATTTTCTTACATGGCACGTGAAATGAATAATGGAAAGAATAACTTGAATCGATCGAACGAGGACTTCCGATGTATAATTCGAACACGTAACGATAATGAATGCGATCGCAAAGTTCACGCGCGTTCATATATTACTGAGTTCATTAACACATCGAAGACGCGAATAATTTTATTCATTAAAAATAGCCTAACGTCAAGATCTCGTCAAGGTATCGTTTGTTTTATAAACTTCGTCATCAACAATTGTTTTTAAATAATTTTTCATTAAGAATGAAATAATAACTTCTTCCCTTGAACATTCATTATCATTATTTTATTAGCATATTATTTTGTCAGCATTTAAATGTGAAGAAATTTAATTTTTTTTTTTATATCTTTTTTAACAGTTCGATAGATTTTAACTGCAAAGTCAATAATGAATTAGTATTTGCTTAGTTGGTCCAAAAGATAAATTGATCAATGACAATGTCATTAACGATCAATAATACTTTTGAACAATTAGTGAATAATAATAAAATTCTTGTGGGTGATATCAGTTTCTTTTTTATAATTTTTGAATTTTGAATATTACTTTAAATTAAATGATAACAAATTAGTATTGATACGATTACATTATATACGTTCATTTCAAAATTATTACGAAAAGAAGAAGAGATTTAGAAGAAATATTTATCTCAACGAATTTGACGAAAGTTTTCCAACTAAATGAAGCAAAATATCTTTAAAATGGTGAATAAGTGACTTTATTCACGTAGCAGAAATATATAAGTAATATTTGAAACGATTAATAAGATTGAACATAAACGTTGAATGTTTTACGGTTTTAGCCGAGTCTTTTTCAAACTGATAGAAGTTAATAATGGTAAAAACTAAAATTATAAGAAATTACAATTATTTGTGATCGCGAGTTTTTTTTTTTTTTTAATTTTTTTTTCAAATTTTTTTTCAAATTTCTATGAAAATGAAAAAAATTAATATATATCGTATATATATAAAAAAAAAAAAAAAAAAAAAAAAAAAAAAAAAAAAAAAAAAAAAATCCAAACGTACGAAGGAAAGATTATCCTCTTTTCTTTTTCTTTTTATTTTCCTACCTAGAAGGAAGAAATTAATGTATTGGAACATTATAAAAAAAAATTTTCTTTCGAACTTTCTTTCGTCAGATAACAAAAGTAAAGAAAAAAATATTGCCCATAAAACCTTCAATGTAATATAATATGAGACAACCGGTCTCATTTCATTGTTCAGCAAAAATAGAGGGTTTTCCCACTATGTTCTGGAATGATATATTACCCTCCCCCTCTCTGTAGCCGGTATTTCTTTTTTTTTCGTCCTTTACCTTGAAAAGGATGACTATGCTTATCGATAAAAATCCTTAGGCCGAAAGAAACTTAAGATCAACAGCTGTCTGTCAATGGTTTTCATTGTCTCTTTGGTAAAGAAAGAGTAAAAGAGAAAAAGAAAAAGAGAGAGTGAGAGAGAAAGAGAAAGAAAAAGAGAGAGAGAGAGAAAAAGAGAAAGATAAAGCGGGAGAAAAGAGGAGAAAAAGAAAACAGGAGAACGAGTTAAGAGAGAGGAAGAGGGGTGATACTTGAATTGCTCGTTTAACTCTGGTGCCTTTGCTTCACGTTGACCAGTATGCTTCCAACGAATGGAAAGTTAACGTTCTATCATCTCAATCGTCTTTTTTTCATTCATTGTAAATGTTTACTTAAAGTGTTCGCTCTTCCTATCGTAAAAAAGAAATCAATCGTTCATGATTAATATTGAGATATAGTTAAAATTCGTATTACCGGTTTTGATATATATCGATTCTCACTGTTATAATCGTTTTCATGTAAGTTTCATCCAACGTAATTTCCTTCATAGAGATGCATTCCTTACGAGTTATAACTGTGTGCTGATATTATTTTTTCCTTTTTCTGCAAGAAGAATCGAAGATCCAAAGGATTTTCCTTCGAATACTAATATCAGTGAGTGTGTTACATGTTAATCATACGGTGCAAATCTTTTTTCTTTTTATCGTTATATCCTAAAAATGGTTTTTTGTCTGCCCCTCCCTCCCTCCCTCCCTCCCTCCCCCCTCATAAGATATTCCTTCTCTTCTCTATTTTCTGTCTTTATATGAGAAAAATTTATAACGCAATTAATGTTATTTTCAATCTTATTAGAATCATTATTATAACAATGAAAGTCGGACGATCCATCTTATCGAATAAAAATAATAGCATTTTATCTTAGAACTTATTTCTTGTCCCAAATGATCTTTGTTAAGCTTCTCTTGGTAATATTTCTTAACCAAAGAAAAACAAAACACTAAAACAAGAGTTCTAATCTATTTTTGGTTCACCAACATAAAACGTTTAATTCGTTTTGCAGGATACATGTAGAATATACGTGCATGTAATACCGCAGAAGATGAGAATTTAACCCTTTGCACTTTCAAGAATGCTCAACAACAATACATCGTATTCTCTGTTTATATCTATTATATTGCACTTGTCTATTACATTATATTGCGTTTATACGTGTCTTTTACTATGTAACTAAAAACGTGTAAATCGTTTTGAACCTATAAAAGATTAATAATTTTATCTTTCGGCTCTGTCTGTCTTACGAAACATATTTATTTTTCATCGTCAAAATATTTTTTTTTTTTTTTTATGTATTTCTAATCTTAAATTTAACTTCCTAATGATTTCATAGATTTTAATTATACAAATATTCTTTTATAATTATCGTGCGTCCACATCTTTTTTTCTATTTTCTATTAAGAAATTGTCCTTACAAAAAAAAGTAATCAAAATCGCTTTATTCGATCTTTTTTATTTAATGACCGATAAAAATGTAAGACGCAAAAACCTATTAATGTCATATTACGTTATTGTTTATAATTCCTGTAATCATTCATTATCGCGTACTTAATAATTTTAGTTCAATTGCATAATTTTGACATTGATCATCATTTTAGTTTTATTTATTTACATACACGATGATACTTATACAATGTTATTATTTTGTGAAATGAAAAAATTTATCATTCATTTATTAATGATTGTTATTTCATATCAATGAGTTTCAAATTATTGTTAAATATTGTTAAATTATTTTAGTAAAACATTATGAATACGATTGCAATGGAACCAGAAATTACCGTCACGACGGCTAGAGAGTAAGTAGTAATTAATGTAAACGATGAATAATGTATCGCATTATTAACATTATAAACATTTTAGGAAAGAGCCACATTTGGGTAATCTTCTTATACGATTTGTAGCAATATATTGGAAATCTTTTATAATTGTACTATGGCCATTGATTCTATTGCCATTAGTATTTATAAAAACTGAAGAGGTTCGTAATATTGTTTGTACAATTTAATTAAATAAAAAATAAATAAATAAATAAATAAAAAATTGATGTAAAATAAGAAATATATGTAAAGCGCGAAGAGAATATAACTAAATGACTAATAAAGTTTTACTATACATATCGTTTATCATAGTCATTATAAAATTAACCAAATTACATATAGCCTTAATTAAAATAGATTAAGTTAGATAATAGATAAGTAGATTGTTATCTTATAAAGGTAAGATACGAAATAGATAAGATACGGAATAGAAAAATCATCGTCAAATATTATGTAATCGGGTACAAATATTTTATAAAAATTATGAATAATCTAATCGATAGTTAAAATTTCAATTTGCGTAACGAATTATGATTGATATCGAGAAAGACAATTTTACGAGAATTTGTAAAAATAATTTTTACGGGAAAATGTAAAAATTCTATAATGATTCACGATTTATAATATCATAAGTATCAAATGTAATAATAATTATTTTTAACTATTATAGGTATTGGCCATGCGATGTTTATACGTAGTTGCTTTGATGGCAATGTTTTGGGTAACAGAGGCTCTACCATTGCCCATCACAGGTCTCATACCCGTGGTATTTTATCCTCTAATGGGTATTATGAGCACCAATGAAACTTGCCTTTGTTATATGAATGATACTACAATGATGTTTCTTGGTAGCTTAGTTATCGCCGTTGTTATTGAAAACTCTGGTCTACATATGCGCATTGCTCTCTTGATCATAAAAATAATTGGTTGCAGTCATAGAAGGTGACACTATGTCTTTCATTAGACATCGTCAGTATCGTCTACAGTTACATTTACAGTTATGAGGATATTATCAATGATAATACATTTTTCAGGTTGACTTTGGGCCTCTTTTTCGTGACGATGTTCATTTCTATGTGGGTTTCTAATACCGCTGCTACAACGATGATGATACCGATTATGGAGACGGTACTCTTAGAACTTGAAGCAGTAAGTAACGTTCATTGACTTTTTAGATTATTTGAATTTAATTGAAACGTCCGATATATTACAGCAAGGACTTGGTAATATGTTCATTCAAGAGAATGAAACTGAAATGGCGATTTCACCTATGTATGTAAAACATTATTTATATATTTCTTCTTCATATATATTTAATAATCTATCTTTATATATTGAATTTTATTATAGTTCAAAAAGACCGACACATAGTACAATGGTTTATTATTTGGTGGCAGCTTATGGTTCAAGTCTTGGTGGTATTGGTACGATAGTAGGAAGCGGAACAAATTTAACTTTGAAAGGATTTTTCGAAACGTAAGTATTTTAAACTTTAATAATTGTAATTTTCTTAATCATATCTTTGGACTTCTAGAATACATTTATATTTCATCTTTCTCAGACGTTTTCCGAATAGTCCAAGTATAAGTTTTGCCTCTTGGATGCTTTATTCTGTACCACCAATGTTACTGATGGGCCTTCTGTCCTGGCTATGGCTACAAGTGATGTACATGGGTCTATTCAGGCCAAAAAGCAAAGATGCTAGAGCGATTGATATTGGTTCCCAAGGAGAACGTGTTGCTACAGAAGTGATACAAAAAAGATACAAGGAACTCGGACCGATTTCGTGGCATGAATCTGTAGTTGGAGTTATGTTTATAACTGTTGTACTACTTTGGTTCTTTAGAAGTCCTGGATTCATGAAAGGCTGGCCATCTTACATCACGAATTTGTAAGTATAATTTCTTATTGCTATTGTATCAGTCCTTTACAAATAGCATAAATAACGTTTAAAGTATTTAATATAACGATGGACTGATTTCCTGACATCTTACGAAATTACTCTAGCTTTATTTTGCAGGCCAGTCAAGGATTCAACGGCGGCTACGTGTTTGACGATCTTATTTTTCATACTTCCAGCAAAACTTGATTTTCTACATGCCTTTGATAAGGATCCGAATAAACGTCCTAAAAAACCGTCGCCTGGTATGATAACATGGCAGACGATACATCAAAAAATGCACTGGAGTTTGATACTGGTGCTTGGTGGAGGTTTTGCTATATCAGCTGGTAGTAAATTATCTAGATTATCAGAAATCCTTGGAAATTTATTAACAGGATTGAATTCTATACATCCAATAGCAATATTGGCTATTGTTTGTATATTTGCAGAAACTGCAACTGAGCTCACTGCAAATGTTGCTGTTGCAAATATCATATTACCAGTATTAGCAGAAATGGTAAGTAAGATTGTAATAAATTTAATAAGGTTAAAAAAACATTATTATTAATTATTTTTCTATATTGTTTTAGTGTGTGGCACTACAAATACATCCTTTGTATCTTATGCTTCCAGCAACTATATGTTGTTCATTCTCATTTCATTTACCAGTAGGTACACCACCCAATGCCATTGCCAGTGCAGCAGGACATATAAGAACAAAAGATTTTATAATTGCTGGGATAGGTCCAACTATTATAACACTCATTATAACTATAGGAGGATTTTGTACTTGGGGTACATATGTATTTAATTTACATGAATTTCCAACATGGGCTTCGCAGAATAAAACAATGTAGATTTGCTTTTTATTTAGTATTATTCATATTAAACTTTTTTTAAAGACTAAATTAAATTATATATGAAAATTTCTATATAATATAATTATCTAGAAAAAAAAGAAAAAGAAAGAAAAAGAAGAAATAAAATAATATTACATTATAGTTACTTTATAAAAAAGAACATCGTGAAATGGTATTACAGAAGCTTAACTTAATAAGCCGACTAGAATCTTCATATTATCATATCAAAATAAAAAATAAGATAAATATAGATACGATTTATTTTTTATAAAAATATTAAAATGTTTAAATGTCTGTATTAAAAATAACAAATATATTTGTTTATTATATCGATATTTAATAAGCATTTATAATTGTGTATATATAATATATATAAAATATATATATATATATATATATTTTTACAAACATTTATACGATAGCTAGAATAAAAATGTAATCGAACAATAATAAATAAACATTGATAAGCAACTTAATCCATTATAATATTTAATTTAACAATGTAAAATTGTTAAATTAACAATAGTATATATCTCTTACCATCTTTACTGGAATCATAGTCGACAGTTGCGATTGGTTCTTCCATTTTCAATGCGTTGCTAATTACAAATTTATAAAGTTCTTCATTTTATTTTTTTTTTCACTGACACAATTTAAAACGTTTAAAATATTATACAAATACACTGACGCGATGAATAAATTTGAAACATTAGTAAAGCACATTAGAATATAATAAACCTAACCTTTACTATGTAAAATTCTTAAATTATGAATTTATGAGACAATAAAAAAATGTTTAAATTGATATGACATTGCAAAATAATCCAATTAATAATATTATACAAAAATCAACATTTATTACTTCAATTTACTGTCATTTACTATCTTACCACAAATTTCATCGCGAATAATATACATCACTTCTACATACATGTTCTATATGTACGTACCATGTGAAGTAAGCACATTAAATCGTTGGCGATGAAGGAAGCTTAATATCAGTAACTACCGACATATATCGATAGTAGCAAATAAAGTGATACATATTGTATTTCGACCGTGCTAAAATATAAAGTATAAACCATTACAGTGTTAAATAAACGCCAGAAGCTAATTTGGAGACTTGAAACAGATTGTAAGCTTGCAAAAATTGTATGGAAAAAAAACATTCATCAGATAAGTAAATTGCCCGCCTTAACCATTGATCAATCAGTATTCAGTAATATCTATATATAAAATCTAATAAATATATATATGTACATATATACATATATATATATATATGATTTTTATTGATCGATAAAAATATGACAGTTAGTTTTATTTAAATATCTATTGTTTAATATCAAAACATAGGTACAATTTTCATTTATGTTTCCATTACTGATAGTTGCAACTTTCGTTTTGCTCTATTACATATTTTAAGGATAGGACAGTAATGTGTAACAAGGATTATTTTTTCCGCTTTGTAAAGGTAAAAATCCTATTAAAGCTTGTAAATCCAATACAAGTTGTGCAAAAGTAGGTCTATTCTCTGGTTGAAATGCCCAACAATATTGCATTATTTTATAAATATCGCAAGGAACATTCTTTGGCTGACTTAAGCATTGTTTTTCAATGATTATATGTTCTAATAACTTGTCATCTGGTACATGTGAATATGGAAATGCTCCAAAAGTACCAATCTCCCATAATACTACAGCAAATGACCATACATCGCTCTTAGAAGAAAATATACGATCTTGTAAAGTTTCTGGAGACATCCAGCGTACTGGAAGTTGACGTACTTTGTTTGACTTATCATTTATAGTATAGATTCCATTTCGAGAAAGTCCAAAATCAGATATCTGAAATTACAAAAATTTCCAAATTTTATTAGCTCTATCAACAGATTCTATGAATTATTACCTTTAAAGATAGATCTGAAGTAAGTAAAATATTCCTTGCAGCAAGATCTCTATGAATAATACTTTTAGATTCCAAATGTTCCATTCCTTTTGCAATGTCAAGAGCAAATTGTATAAATTGATTTCTTTCAACTTCAGCCTGCGCATTTAATGCATTTTCTTCTTTTTTAGAAGACTCTAAATTAATATATCTTAAACTAGGTAATTTCAATTTGTCATTTTTTGAATGTGTTGAAGATATACTATTTATTGTTGTATATAATGCTGAAGTAAAAATTAAACAAATTAATCAACAATATACTTTATGAATCTGAAATATACAAAAAAAAAAAAATACAGAAATAAAATGTTATATACTTTCTGAAGAACCAAATCTAAATCCATATCTATTAAAAATATTTTTTATGTATCCACATTCAGCTTTTTTATCTCTTATTGAATGCAAATATCCCAATAAATTACCACCTTCCAGATATTCTAAAATTATACATATAGATTTATTTGGCACAATGGAATAACCCATAAGATTAACTAAATGTGGGTGTTGTCCTGCTTTTATCATTATTTCAATCTCCTCCATAAATTCTCGGTATATATCTAATTTATTTAATTCATTTGATAGCCTTGACATCTTAACTGCTACTGGTGTTGCATCGTTATTTATATATCCAAGATAAACTTTACTAAATTGGCCTTCACCCAATTCAGAAGTCAGTTTTAAAGAATTATATGGGATTTCAAATTCATTTGTTTCATGTTTACATGGTATAACCTTTACAAAATATTGTTTATACTATTAATTATCTAGAATTATACATGCATACACACAAACACATATATATATATTATTTTCATACCTCGGCATTGCATTGAGTATATAGAATATTATGTTTTCGAAGAATAGAATTCGCCCAATTTGATTTACACTTAGAAATAGAATCTATTGCCTGTATTCTAAAATTAAACAAAAATATATCTTCATATATATTACATATTAATTTATATTTCTCTGTATGAATAATTCATATTACCGTGATGTATGTCCTTCTCTCCAAATGAATTTTCGTTTCTTCTTTTTAAAAAAAATAAAACTAAGCAAACTGAATATTATGGAGATAATGGTAACAGGCACTAACACCTACAAAATTATATCAAACAATTAATCAGTAAATATATTAAATAATTAATCATTTAATAGTATTTTGACATTTTACATAAATACGTACAATAAAATAACTTTGCAATGATGAATTCTGATCCATCAAATTGATGATAAATGTTCCATCATTACCTAAACAACCATGATCATCTGTTGCAGTTACAAATACTTTGTAATTATCTTGTAATTCATTACACTGATAACCATTATGTAGATTCCATAAAAAAATATTAGTTTTTGCTTTGGTAATACCTATTTGTGAAATATTATATACAGGAAATCCTGCTTTTGATATTAAAAGAGGTACTCCTATACTGAAATATAAATAATATCATGTAATATTAAAAATAATATATCAATTAAAAAAGATATTTTATTTTTTAAGTAAATATACTGTATTATACCAAATTCTGTAGGAATGTACATAACTATCATTAGTTTCTATACTCCATGTAATTAAGACATGACATGTCTTAACAGTCACATTTACACGAGGGATTGGTAATACAGATTTTTTATTTGTACAAGTGCATTTATTATCTATACATTCTGGAACTCTATAAATTATCTGAAAAATAAATAATATGAATTCACAAATATCATAATATTTAGAAAATCTATATTCTGTTTATAGATTAATTACAAGCCTACTTACCTCTTGTGCCGTTCCCGTTGGCTTTGTTCTTGGATTAGCATAAACTTCTATCTTGTATGAGCAGCTTGGATGAATATACATCTCTGGTACATCAATTGATAACTTATTTTGTGGTAGTAAAACATTAAGTTGACTGTTATTTTGTGTTCTATAATACAGTGTTCCTTCTGGACAAATTGCAAGATTTGATTTTTCACTTGATATGCTTGTTACTATGACACTGTTATAATATAAAACTTATAAATAGATGTACTATAAAATTAACTATAATTAGTACCAATGTCACATGTCTACCTGTATGAGGAAGGTTGCTTATTCCCATTTGGTGATAACCAAGATATATTTAATTTTAAAGATTTATATATGTCATTATCATTTAAATAGTTTTCATCTTTTAAAGTATATACTGTGATGTTTTTCACATTGCCAACAAATTTATCAATATTTGATGCCCATACTATGTTAATATTAAAAATAAGAAAAGTCACAATAAATTGTAAAAAAAATGAAGTTTGAGATAGCATTTGTTGTCAATAAAACAAATAATGAAATAATAGATCAGATTAGTATACTGTTGTTTTCTTACTAACTAGTAGGATTTATGTACTTCAAAATTTGATCTAAGTGCCTGAGAAAATCTTATCTGATAAATTGTACGTTAAGGGGACAAAGATTTCTTTAACAAAATCTTTGATAAGATTAAGATCCATTTAATTTTATTTTATATCAATTTTATCAAATATTTTATTATATTCATAAAAATTCTCTTTCAAATATATTTTAATGTAATTAAATAATAAAGTAAATATTATGATATTGTGAATGATATAAATAATTTATATTAATAATATATTATATTAATAATAATTATATAATGTTATAGGTTTTCAAATGGCCTCGGCTGCGATGACCCCGGCTGAAGATGACGAGTTAACACTTCCTCGTGCATCCATTAATAAGATGATCAAGGAAATACTACCACATGTACGCGTTGCTAATGAGTCACGGGAATTAATCTTAAATTGTTGTACAGAGTTCATCCATTTGTTGTCTTCTGAAGCTAATGAAATATGTAATCAACAACAAAAAAAGACAATAAATGCAGAGCATATTTTGCAAGCACTTGAAAAACTTGGTTTCGGCGATTACAGTGCAGAAGCAGAAGCTGTTTTAAGAGATTGTAAAGCAGTAGCAGCTAAGAGAAGACGTCAGAGCACTAGGTTAGAAAATTTAGGAATTCCAGAAGAGGAATTATTGAGACAACAACAAGAACTCTTTGCAAAAGCAAGAGAAGAACAAGCTGTTGCTGAACAACAACAATGGCAACAATTACAAGCAGTTGCACAAATGACATCAATGCAACAAACTGATAGCGAACAAGAAGATTATTCATAAGATACAATACAGAAATTATTCAATTGATTATATGTGAAGTTTTCCCACAATTTATTATATTAAGAAATATAAAAAGGAAAATAGGAGATCTTATTTTTAATAAAAATAATAAATGTATAATGGCATTTTTCAAGTACCTTCAATTCTGTGATTTATTTTCAATATGGATTGAAATATATAATTTATATAAGTAGTACAAATTATACTATTAATAGTGCAAAATAAAAATGTATTCTTACTATTACATTACTTTTATCATAAATCTTCTGTTGTTATGAATATATCATTACATTTTATGGCATTAATCTTCCATATTCTGATGACAAATGACTTTTCTTTATTGCCTCCATGACTTTTGAAACATAGTGATACCTAAATACAAATATTAATGTATTACATATTCTATGTTTTATTAAATCAATATATTATGGAAACTTATATAGATTTTTCATATAATTTGTCTTTTCTATAAATTTATTTACCAATTTTTTTCTGTTAATGTAGATGGTGTCATCGGATGCCTTGATACCCCATGTATTTTCATTCTTAGTTGTTCAATCAGTCTTTTCTCATTTTCTTGCACATTGTATTCATCTACGATTATGATATATGATATAATAGATACAAAATAAATATTCATATCAAACTAATTAATAATTTACCTTCTGTCGTAATTAATGGTATTAAAAATAAATTCAAACCACTTTCAACTGAGCCATGACTCATGTCTAAGCCACTGTGAGTTTGTAATCTGGAACTGGCAAATACTTTATTATAAAATTCCTGAAAAGAATAATAAAATGATAGAATATCTCATAAAATACTCCAATAATGTATTATATTATACTAATAAAAAATACCTTCATTCTGCCAACAGTACTTGGCATAAAATCTTGTGCTTCTACTTTATTGTGTAAAAATAATATATGTGGATAATATTCAACATAATCTTGATCCATAGTAGTTGTAGATGATGGTTTCAGCATTTCTGCTGTTTGAAGAAATCTATCATAAAACAAAGATTTCCTTATACTTACGAAAGCCTATGACTAAATAATTTTCATTGTAAAATATACTTTACACAAATGCATAATAATATTTACAATAATTACAAAATGCGTACTATCATAAATACCTGACTAAATTTGGATCAACGAACCAATCTTGTACAAATATAATTACATGACACACTGAAAATAAAAATGCTGCGAATTGTAATGATTGCAATTCCAAATTGGTTTCTGTATTAACAAAATCAGTTGTAGCCTTTTTTTGTTCAAATGATGAAGCATAGTCAATCACAGAAGTTGACAAAATAGGTTGTGTATCTAAGTATATCACTCTATTCTTAGTTACAAAAAAATCTATTCCATTAGTACAATTTGTACCACTCTCATGATGGGACATATCTTGAACATTAAAAATGTCAGCTCTAAGCTCATCATTAAAATTTTAATTATATTTATAATTGTATAAAAGAAAACTATATCCATTTAGAATAAAACTAACTTATAATTTGATGTAAGAAGAGACATTATTGTAGACTTCCCAACACCTTGTGGGCCTAAACATCCCACTACTAAAAAGTCTTGTTGGTCACATAAAAACTCTAATGCACTTTCGCTAAGCTGCATATTTTCATCCATAAATTTAGCACAATTTGTCATTTCAATACATGTAGAAATCACTGTACGTGTCACTAAAAAAAAATTTTTTCGAATTACTACTTAATTGTATCTATATTAAATAAATATTTTAATATATTAAATTATAATAAATAAAGAACCTACTATCTGGTGGTTTCAATGGCATTGTTGTTGAAGTTGAATCTGCTTCTTTTCTAAAATATTAATATATATGTAATTACTATGGTAAAAAATTCAAAATTCAGAAATGTATAATTCTTACTTGTTGCCATTACGCTGACTTGGTGAAACTGCTCTGCTTTCACCTTCTCTGGTTTTTAATATAAATGTTGGACGTTCTACAACCTTTATTAGAGCCCTTCCTTCCCCCTCTTTAACTTCTGTATCCTTCGGCAATACTGGCATCATTTTTAATTAAATTTTTTCCTACTTTTTACGCAATAACATAAACAATAACACCTGAAATGTATTGGAATATATATATGCAATTATAATGGACAATATTTAATAAAAAATTTATAAATAAATACTTTGTATTAAATTATAATTGTCCTATTAAAATGTAATTTTCATATAATTTAGAAGCAATAATAAATAATCGACGAAACCCAAAGAATACATTTGTTATTTACTACATTTCGCTTGTAATGTAAGTGACTTCAGCGACAGGTACGGACAAAATATGAACTACAAGTGCAATAAGTACAATCGTACTATGTCGATGTACAAACTTGATAGATATATCTTCTATGAAAATTATCTAACAATCGAGTTTGTGCGTAAGAAAAATTTTTATGCACAGTATATAGTACATTTAACAAAAGTAAAAAAAACCATATGCGAGATTATATTTTTCTGAAAGTAGATTAATTGAAATATATTGTTTTAAAACAGAAAAATAAAAATAAAATAATTAGTATCATTGTTATAATAAGAAATTGTTGAAAATATTTGAAATGTTTAATATAAAAATTTTTAAATAACGCTACGAGCATTGTAATGTTTAAACGAATGTACTATTGTTTAAATATTAATTTATTGTATTTCATGAATATTATATATTGTTAAAATAATTATAAAATTAAAAAAGTATTAATATTTAAATCTCAAATGTTTGCTTATTAATTCGTTATGTCTGAAATCTGATGGTATCGGACGATGGATGTCTATCCGTCCACGACTCACCTCCTGTTAGTTAACAAGCTTAAAACTCTCGAAACGGAAAGGCATCTCGATATGCAGATTTTAGAGTAAAGTCATCGTTAACTCGTGGATCTCCATATGTAGCAACCTCCACGCGGTGAGATCTGGGTCGATATTACTTGCTATCTATTAAAATTTGACTTGATACGAGTACTATCGGCCGAATGGGCTGTATGTCTCAATATATTTTCAAAATTTTTTTTTTTATCTAATTCTGATCAATAAATTAAAGGTCTAACATTTTACATTGCTAATAATACTTCCACAAATGAATAGATTGGATATAATAGAATTCTATGGACAAATATCAAATATATAAATTTACGACTAAAATCAAGACTTTGTCGATTATTTGATCAAAAATAATAATTAGTATATATATATATATATATATATATATATATATATATATACAATAATACTTATATATTATATATTATTTATATAAAAATCGAAACATCAGTTCATTTTCTATGACGTAAAATTTTCAGTATTAAATTTTTTCCGTGATTTTTCTTATAAAATTAGTTCTCTTTATTTTGTATTATTATCATTATATTAATGATATATAATATAATAATATAATAATGAAAATAATGACAAAAAAAAATAGTAGAAAAAGAAATACATTTATACTTATATTATATAAAATAATATTTGATATATAAATATTCACTAATTTTCGTAGCAATTATATTTATTATCTTTTATGCATTTATATCGTAAAATAAATGCATACATGTGCTGTATCGTACTTATTACAAATTATTGCGAAAGCACGCCATCATTAAAAAAAAGATATAATTATGTGAGAATGAAAAGTGTGAATTCATAATCTACTAGCATGCTTAAAGTCACGCACGCTTCTATCGAAAGCTGCTTAATAGCCTTTAACTTTCATGTTTTTCATATAGAGCACACTGTATCCATTTTGTATATATGTATGTTATGTATGTATGTAAGTATGTATATATATATCATACATACCAATTGTACTGGGGAGTTCGCCCGATAAAGATGGCTGCTACTAGCGTGGAATGTGTCGATTTTTTAGAATTTCAGGTATATTTGATAATAAATTATAACATAATAGCGAAAGATATCCTCCTTTAGATATTATTATTTTAATTTTACGTTTATCTGACACAACTTGAGTCATGCGATCGAATAATTTTTGAACCATACTTAGTACGATTTTCACCGGCTGATAGTGTAATTATATATCATTAATGAAAAAGTTAGATTATAAATTTATTCAAATTTATAAATAAAGATGGATAACAAAAGATCATTATTAACATTTATCGAAATTTACGGCGATGTAAATAATTAGCTTTCGATAAGTTTAAAAAAAAAATATCCTTTTTTGGTTAGTTAGGTTAGTTTAATAATTTTAAACGCTACTTTTATAATAACGATATATTAATCAACGTATGGGCTGCGATATATTTGAAACATTTTTTTCTAATTTTTGTATTCCAGGATACGTTACGGAAAATGAGACAGTTTGATGACAAAATCATATACATGTTAAATACAACACTTCCTACAGAATCATTTAAAAGCGATGTAAATCCAACATCAAAATGTAAAGAATTATATGAAGAAGTTCAGAGTAGTCATATTCAGCGACAAAGTGCGATCAATAAATGTTTAAACATTGCTAAAGAAAGAGTGAAATACTTAAAAAATCAAAAGGAAAGTCAAGGGAATGATCCAATATTTATAAAAACTTTAAGAAAAGAACAGAATAATTTACGCTTATTACAATCAGAAGTTGGTGTGGAAGAAGTTTTGAGAAATCGTACAATGCAAGTTTATCATGATAAGTGTCGCAGTTATTATAAGCCATCGACTATAAGTCCATAGAATTTACATGATGAATTCTTCCACATGATGTATAATTTGACAAAGAGTAATGTATGTATGTAATAATTATTACAATAAAAAAATAGGTAATTTGTGGATAATGAATTACATAAAATCAATATGGAAGGATTCTTTCTGCTGTTGCAGTGTACAAATTATCTTGCTGGTAATAAAATAGTTAAATGTTCTTTGATATCAATAAATGAAACATGATCGTACGTTTTTATAATAAAGTAATTTTTTATAAAGATTAAGATAATTAGAGTTAACAAACAAACATAAATTATCTTGTTATGCACATATTGAGGATCTATTATTGATCCTATTTATTAGATATATTTTTTATAAAGAAAAAAAAAAAAAAGAAAAGAAAAACAAACGTGTCTTCTCTTTGTTAGCATAAATGAAAACTACATGGCTACAGACAAAATATATTTTAATTTCGAAAATATTCTTACTTGAAAATTAAAATTATATGATTACAATATAAGTATGAAAGTAATGATAGCAATGGTAATATTTCATTACATCTATGTACAAAAAATATTATTGCAATATAAATAATTATATGCATATATATTTTTTGAGCTATTTTATGAAAATAGCTTTTACTTGCATATAATAATTATAGTTAACTATATTTTAAAGCTATTGAAAATTATTATATCATTCTGAGTACTATCAGTTTATAATTCCAAAAATACTGCATGCAAAAATAAATATTTAAATTATTACATGTTATATTCATTGGTTTCTATAACATAAATATTTCTATTGATTTAAGTGCTTCACTTATTATCTTCAGCTGCTTTTTGTTCTTTTCGTAAGCTTTTTTGCCATTCCAAATCTCTTTTAGTCAGTGTATTTCCCCTTGCTACTTCTCGTTTTCCACTTATAGCAGCAATTAAAAATCCTATTACTGAGATTACTATCATAATGTTGCAAGTGCGTACTCTAGCTTTACTTCGGGCATTCAATATACAGTCACGTCTATTAAAAATAAAAAATTAAGTTATTTATATTATAGAACATTTTATAATAATGCTAATATATTTCCAAACATTAATTATATATTAGTTTTTTGCTTACGTGACTTGTGCAGGTACATCAGCCATAGACGGGTATCGTTTAACCCATACTAATATTCTTTTGTCAAAGTTAGTAACAGGGTGCATGTGAGTTCCTGTAACAACCCAGTTAAAAATTATTATAAGTACTTTTACATTTAGACAATAAATAAATAATACATTTCTTACCAATGCTATGTACAGTTTCAACATTATTTTTGGTATCTGGTTTTGGGTTTTGTGTTGACATAAATTTAATTTTTTGTTTACCATTGCTATAAACATTTCTCGTTACTTTGGATAATATAGAACGACATATTAACTGTGAAATAATCATTTTTCTGTAAAAAAAATATTCGTTACATCACTTTTGCATTCTTCTATCATTGTAAACAATATTTTTTTTAATCCCAATCTGTTATAGATAATTATCTGTTTTTAATACGATAATACATTTACGACATTCATATTCTAATGTAAATGTTGTTACTGGTGAAAGTTGAACTTGACAAAAATCGTAATGACCACTGATTAATCATTTTATCTGAAATTTTGTAAGTTATTTAACACTTAATGACTCGATTACTAAAATATGATTAGATTACAAATGTGAATGATTACAATATAAATTGTCATGTTCACGTTTCGAGGTTAGATTCTTCTGATCTGTGTAAAAGAAATTTTACAATAGATACAAAAGAAAAAAGAAATAGAAAGATTCAAAAATTCAATTGTTTATTTTAAATCAGTATTAACATTATTCATTTCAAAATGGCAAGTATTTCGTATTAATCTTATTACGTATAATAATAATATTGCTTACCCTTATGCAATTTACACTTTAAATTAACAAATTATAAAAAGCTTGTAACGACTTCCACTATATAACCTTCATATGATACGTATGTATCATTATGACGCGCGTTCTCTTAATTTTTGGTATATATATGTAGACAACTCCTCGATCTCGGCAGTAACGTAGGAATAAAAATGAAAATTCGAATTGTAACAAATTTGTTACGATTAAGAAAAAAAATTAGTAAGAATTCAAAGAAATATTTTATTTAAATGTTCAACGTTCATAACGTTATATTATATATCATATTTATTGTTAACATTAAAACAAAAAGAAAAAGAAAAGTTGAAAAAGAAAATGAAGAAAAAAGGAAGTTAAGTTGCAAAATACCTTAGTCATACTTATAAATTATTTTTGGTCAACGGTTAATAAAAAAATGCAAATGAAATTGTAACATCAAAGATTTACATAATAATATTGTAATATATTGATGATGTTTATACGTGGGTACTTCAAACACCTATGCACATTCCTGAGGTATGAACTACCCGCCTTTTTTTTCAACATGGCTTACGTGCAGATCATCGCGTATGGTATATTTTTCTCGAAGTCTACTTTTATTTTATAACTGAGATTCCCTTATTACTATGACCGACTTATAACAAACGTGACCAAGAACAGCTTCGTCTTCTCATATTTCTCTGAAAGGAATACGAGACAAATGTAACGTACAAACGTAACGATACAGAAGTATTCAACAATTAAAAATTTTGTAATCAAAATGAAATAATTATTTCCGTAAACATTTTCTTTCAAAATTTTTCTGAATTCAAAATAATTATGTAGAAATTCGTATTTAAATATAACGACGACAAAAAAAAATATATATATATATGTTTTATTAATATTTATTTATATCAGTATTTTTATATTATTAAGGAGTATATATATATATTGTTATTATTTTTATTATTATTAAATATTCAAATAAATTCTTATTAATAAATTCGCTTAGATTATCGATTAATAATCGAAATCAACTTCGAATCGTTGATGGTAAAATGGCGACATAAATAAAAATTTGTATTTAAAAATGATCAAAATAAGACTGAAAGAAGGCATAAAGAAAATGAATAGAAAGAAGAGGAAGAGAAGGAGTAGGAGAAGGTGAAGGTGGATAAAGAGGAGAAGAAAGAGAAGAGGGAAGAGTAAGATACGAGCTTGACTATAAGATTAAAGCTTGTGAAAGAAACAAGTTATTTTAGTTCTCTCTCGATCATTATTTAGTATCGCGTGTGCAAACTTGTTTGAGTTATAATTATTTTCTTTATTCCATCATCTACGTTTCTTTTTCTTATTTTCATAAAACAAGTCAATAAAAAAAAGTAACAATGTACTCAAAAAAAATTTGTCAAGTTTCACCGTTAATTTTATTCCGATTGAATTTTATAATCACTGTGTTATTAATTGTAAATGTAAAAGCTTACACGATACCAGAACCATTATTCGAAGTACTTGGATCAAAAGGATTACGTATTTCTATACAAGGTAAATTAAAGTTATCATTTTGTGTATATAATACAGAAAATAAAAAAAATATGCTTTTTCAAAAGTTTGATGAATAAATCGTATATACACTTTTACTATAAATCATTGCGATAATGACGCATCAGCTAGTCATCTGGAGTTTTCCGTAAATCCCCGAGATTTTTAATATTTAGGGAAATTAAATATTTGAACGATGTAATCATTATTATCGTTAGGTCATACAGGTCATCTATTTTATACGTATAGATATGGAAATACGAGGATAATACGTATATATACATAATTGTCTTTTTTTCTCTAATTAAAAATAATAAACTTCTTCGCGTCATTAACAGATACACCAGGCTTGCAATATTTTACGTTTCATGGAAATTTAAATAAACCAATACGTTCGAGAGATTCTGGCGAATTATTTGGTGATGTATTTCGAGCTAAAAACGGACGATGGACCTTAGAAAAAGGGAACGTTATCTTACAAGAAGGAGATGTTATTAATTATTGGATATATGTACAAGTTAATAATGCAGGTTCTATTAAAGAAAATCAAAGATATGTGGTTGGCAGTAAATGTAATTTTTAAAAAATTTCTAAGTTATTATTAAATTATTACAATGAATTATAAATTTTCTATACTTTGTCGAACAATTTCTTTGCAGCGAATTTAGGAAAATCTACAACTCCACCGTCAGTCATCGTCAGCTCAAATACCGAAAAAGGTCAATTGATATTCAGCGAAGATTTTAATAATTTAAATGAATCACTTTGGTCACGCGATATAAAAATGCCATTAGGACCTGTGAGCACAAATTTTGGTATTAATACGAATCAATTGACGCACAAGAATCGGAAGAAATAAATATTTTTTTAATTTTTTTTTTGTTTTAGGATTACGAATTTTGCATTTATCACAATGACAATCATCCGAAGCTCGTTGAAATCGATGATGGTATTCTTCGTATTAAACCAATTATATTAGAAGATTCGTACGGAGAAAATATAACTTCGTATGGAACATTACAACTTTCCGAGTACGAATAATGGATATATTTAATATCGATTTATATCTTATATACGATAAATGTTAATTTCCTTTTTTTTTTTATTTTTTAAGTTGCACCAGCAATATCCCTCAGGAATGTTCTCGAAATGCTATGTCTTACAGCATTTTGCCACCTGTTATATCAGCTAGATTTAATACAAAAAATCGATTTGCATTTAAGTATGGTAAAATTGAAATCCGTGCTAAATTTCCTGAAGGTGATTGGCTATATCCAGGTTCGTAAAATTCAATCCAATTGATATTCCAATTATCGAATTCATTGCATTAAAAATTGTTAGAAAATATTGATCTATATAATTAACAGAACTATGGTTGGAACCACTTTACTCTCTTTATGGCCCTAATTATGCTAGCGGTCGTGTTATTCTTGGTTTTGCTCGTGGAAATGATAACCTTGTCGATGCCGAAGATTTAGAGAAAGTTTACGACAGTAGAAAATTGGAATTTGGATTGAAATCAGGTTCCCCAAGGATCTATGAAGAAAATGTTCACAAAATAGTGAATCGTGATTCTGAATGGAACAAAGACTTTCACGTATATACAACTATATGGGATGCTAATGGATTTAAATTTTTAGCAGATGGTGAAGAAATTGGTCGTTTACTTCCTACGGTAAACGGATGGTTACATAATTATGATACTAATATTCGTGGTATGACAAAAATCGCTCCATTTGATCAAGAGGTAGGTTGATGATAAATATATAACCATGATTATCTATATATGTCTATAATAAAATATATTTTTTCGTAGTTCTATATCAGTATAGGTGTAGGCGTCGGTGGTCTAAGAGTTTTCCCAGACAAAACGATTAGTTCTGGTTATAAAAAACCTTGGAAAAATGTAGGCGCTAAGGTTCGATGATTTTTTCAAATTAACAAATTTTTTTAAACAATTAATTCATAGAATAGAGTTATATTAATATCTTATATTAATTATAGCCGATGCTAGACTTTTGGCACTCTAGAAATCAATGGTTACCAAGCTGGAGACGAGATAACAGTAACAAAAGGGCTTTAGAAATAGACTATGTGAAAGTTTGGTCGTTGTAATGAAAAGTAAATAATATAATTGTTTATTTATACGTACTTTAAAAATATAAATTTTTGAATTTTCTAAGTGCATAAGACTATAATGAAGATACTATAGCTGTGTTTAAATATCTATGTAAGTAGGAGTGTCGCTTATTAATGGCGAGTGGTTATTCTTGGAATTATTATAACGCTATTGTTTATTATTTATTCGTAATAAGTTATTATTATTATAATTTGAAATAATCAATTTCTTTAAGTAAATGCTCTCTTTCGTCCATTTGTGTATTTATGTGTGTGTGTGTGTGTACAACAATACGTATAATTTTTGTCTCTATTTTGTCTTATCCAATAATTATGTATATATACATTTGATGAATTATTATGTTCTGTTTTAACAAAAATGTAATTGTTAAACATATACAAAAAAAACTTTTTAATTTGTTTTTTTTTTTTTTTTATTACTCTTCGAAAATAACCGGTTTACTATAAAAGCAGTATTGGCCTTCGATGTAGATAATGTTCGCGAAACCGGTTTACTCAGATACATAGAAATTAAAAAGAATATAAGGACGAAAAAATCTGTACTTTTTTTTTCTTTCTCCCTTTACGACTTATAGCCATAAATGGATTTACGAAAGACGAAAGATGAAAGACGATTACATTTAATGCGTATGTGAGATATAAGGTCGAGTGTATCTCGCGTAGACTTTTAAGGGTTCTTACAATTAATTCGAATAATAAAATCTCGACGAATGTTGAAAGTGGCCTTAAACTGGCTTATGCCACCCTGTCCAGTTTTCTTTCCTCTTTGATCATGGCTTCTAATCTTTTTGCTTATACACTCTCCAGTTGCCTGACAGCACTTGTGCAGTACCGGCGTGAACACACATCTCTTTACAATCTTCAAATAAAATCATTCTTTTGTTTTTATACATTCGAATCCCTAACGATATTTTTCGGTATAAATTAATCTTTTAAAATTTGATTGATCTAATCATTACAAATGACAAGTATACGAAATATAATCATTTTTATTGCTTTGATTTTTATTTTAAACGGAGAATCATTCGCAGGAACTCTTTATCGTCTGAAACGATCGAGTGAGTAGTCATTTAAAAGAGAAGATTATTATTATTAACAAATAATATTATACTTTAATGTGAGAATGTTAATTATATTTTGTTAATAAGCATGTATAACAAATAATTCATCTCATTTTAGTGTTCTATTTAATAATCGGGAATAACAATTTTCTTTGCAGAAAATGAATACATATTGCGCAGGTGTATTGCTAGTACGGAATTAATTAAAATGCACGTACCTGAAAGAAATATAACACGATCGATTTCATCTGATATAGGAAAACATGATATTAATGAAACTTCCACAATACAACGAAAGGATAAACGGATTAAATCACACGATGACGATCGCCAACACTTTATATCTACAAATTTCAAAGATACACCTCTTAAAACTGTAAATATTCAGGCAGTAGAAAAAAATAAACCTCTAATATTTCAAAAGAAATATCAGCTACCTGAACTTCAGCATAATGTACCTAACAAAGCACCTGAAATATCAAACAATGTTATTACCATTAAATCATCGCTGGAAAAGGACATTTTTCTTTCTATCAACAAAATGTAGCATTAATACAATCGCTAAGAATAATTAGTTATACACAATACAACATGGTGATTATGCTTAAAAAAGTCAGTATAAAAACATAATATTTCATACACATTTTGTAGACACAACTCTATGAAAAAAATAGTTTATGATTTATGAATAAATTATTTAAGGCAAATTTCATTTAATTTACTGTATGTACTATGGTAACAGATATTCAATAATTATGTAAAATTAAACAGTATTCGGTGGTGTCTGTATAGATTCTGGTAATTTCTGTAATTCGACCTATAAAAGAATTTTCATTAAGAAAAAAAAAAAAAAAGAAATAAAGTACCAAGAACAGAATAGATATCTAAACGAACCTTTGTAACTTTCATTGCTACACCTTCTGGTAAATTTCGTTGAAGATATTCTAAGAAAGTATCTGCAGTAGATCCTGTTAGTTTTGCAAAATCCATAAATCTATAATAAGTTCTGCTTTCATATTGTACACGATGTTTTTTGTATATATGTACAGATTTCAACACTGTTAGTCGTTCATGCACAGCTTTTCTAGGTGTTGTACTGTAATATAAATCGACAACTTTTAATTGATTGATCTATATTAAGAATATTATAAAAAAAAAAAAAAAAAAAAAAAAAAAAAAAAAAAAAAAAAACAGTAAAACTTACTTTCTTAGCATATTAATTTCTAAATGGTTTGCAGTTAATTCAGTAAACTGGCCATAACTCTTTAGTACGGCAGGATCATTTCCTCTAAGTTCAATTTCTATTTTTTTATATAATTTATCAGGATTAGGCTAGAAAAATTTACATCAAATATAATACGCTATGAAAGAGAATACTTATATTTACTCGTAATGACTTTTTCATGAAGATCAATGGTATACCTTTACATTTTTAACTTCCCCTAATGACGAGAATGATTTTGTTAAGATTCCAATATATTTAGTTTCTCGATGAATTGTATCGCTTATAATATTTCTGAGCACCAAACCAACCTAACAAACAATTATACAATTAACCTAACCTCTAATTGAAATAATTTAATTATATTACCTTGGAACATAACATTTTTATTATGTCACTTTAAAAGTAAACTCAGAGTAAATTAATTTTATTTATTATAGAGTTTTTTTCACATAAAACTTTAATTTTAATTTAAATCGATAAATTTACATGTGCATACACATGAGTCACTTCACACAACCTCTAAACGATTGTATAGTACTAACGTAACATCATGCCATCTTACGACAAAAATAAATTTATGATCAACCGCATTATCTCCTGAGATTACCGACTCAAATTATAATAATAAGTCAATTTAAAATAAAATATCAATATTGATATTTTAAAATGTATGTACTATTATGTATTTGAACATAGACGCACCATTCACATACGCATACATGCACACGATGAGCTTTCATATTTAGTAAAGTTTTTTTTAACATACTTATATCACATGTATACTTTACAGTATTATGTGTAAATATCAGTATAATTGTAACAATTAACATTGTTGAAGTTGATCTTGTAATTGTGCATATCGCATTTGTAATACACGTTCACGTTCAGTCTGTCTGTTAACATCTTCAATGAGTGCATTTACTCTTCTTGGAACTGCCGCTTCCTCTTGATTTTGTAAAAATTTAAATGTTGAAAGTTCTAAGTAAGCTTGCTCTATTTGTTCACATAAATCGTGCAATTGTTTAATTAAGACTTGTGCCCTGGTCTAAAAAATAGATTATATTAAATTTGAAACTAATCTCAATTACATTTTTAAAATATTACCTGATAACCTCCTGTTAATACTTTCAATTTTTTTTCCATTCTTGCAGCTCTTTTTGCTTCACCTGTCATATGCATACGATTTTCTTCTAATTTTCTTTCGCAAGCTTCTACTCTATCTTTTTTAGAAGCTAATGTTGCTCTAGTATAACGTTTTTGGGTTTCCAGATATAAAATCTAGAATTTTATTTTAATGCATTTTTTAAAAGTATTTGATTATTTTATATATACATATATGATAAAGAAATATTTACTTGTGATAAACATTCTTCCCATACAGTTGTATATGCATCTAAGCTCAAGTCTCCATGTGCCATACCTTCCTTTACAACATTCATTTCATCAGCCAGTAATTGTTTTGCCTAATCACAAATGAAAAAAATGTAATGATTCATAAAAGGAACAAAGTCAAAATTCGTTTCAATATACATCTACTTACAGCATCTAGTTCTTCTTCATCGAAATTAGCATAAGGATGTTGTTCAAGATACGATTGTGCTTGTGCTAAAGAACTAGAAGCACCCTTCCTATTTTGTTGCATAGGATTTTGAAGTGCATCATATTGAAGCATGGTAATCATTTCTCTTTTAATTAATTCTTCTGCTCTTTGCATATCTGTCAGAGGTGTATCCATGAAAGGCCTCAAAATATTCATATTGACATCAATTGGTCTTGGCAAATCTCGTTGTATAACTTGAGATCTTCGAGCCAATTCTCTTTTTTTTTGTTCGAGCAATTCCTGCTGTTGTCTCGCGTCAATATCTGCTTGATCTTCAATTATATCATTTGCAGGAGTAGAAGTATTCTCGTCTATACTTTCATCTTCAGGAACAACTATTTCATAATCATTACGTGGTGCAGGCAACGCTATTAAACCTGCACGTAACTGTTCTTTAGCTTGTTTCTGCACCATTGGGGTTTCTGACCCGACAATACTTTCGTCTGGATTAATACTAAGTTTATCACGAACTGGTGTTGCAAGAACTCCATTTTGTGTTCGTGTAGATGTTGGTGTATTAAATGAATTCAAGGGTGTTCCATCACTACGTTGGGAACGGAATGGAGTTGCCAAAATAGTATTCGGAGTTGCAACAGCATTTGTAACAGGTACAACACCAGAAAAATCCGAATTATTTAGTGGCGTATTTAAACCTCCTTTTAATGGTGTATCAACATGTGTCAGGGCCATAACATTTTGAGCTTCTTGAAGAATTTTATCTTGTGCAGCTGGAGTTCTAGGAGTTACTGCAACATTTGTTGGCAAGGAATAATCAGCTAATAAACTGTCCGATAATGTAATACCACTTTCTGCTGCAACTTCACGTGCAACCTCTGAAGCACGTCCTAGTTTAACAACTTGTTGTAATTCTTGATCAGAAATTTGTGGTTCGGGTAAAACGAGTTTACTTCTTTTCTTCACAGGTTCTTCATTATTAAGCATTCCCATTGGTATATCATTTTCCTTACGTTGCTTTAACTTCTGTTTATCTTTTCTACGTTCCATTTCTTCTTTTTCTTGTTTATGATCTCCATCTAACTGTTGCTGTCTCATTTTGGAGAAATCTATTGCAAGTGGATCAATATGTTCTTTTGATGTATCATAGAAACCTGGAGCAGGACGTTTTTCAAAAGGTATTTCAGTGTTATAGTTAACTCCTCGTTTGCGCTTATTCTTTTGAGACACCGTAATGCCTGCAGCACGAAGTTCTCTACGTTTTTGTAATGCAGCAAGCCTACGTGCTTCTTCTAATTGTTTCTCCCGAGCCTTTCTTTTTGCTTTTTTTCCTTGCGTATTTGCAAGTCTTGCTCTTGCCTCAGATAACATTTCCAATTCATCTTCATCCATATCTTTAGGATCAGGTCTTGCGGGTTTTGTCTCTGGGTTTGGATCAATTTCACCTGGTTTCAGTTTACGAGGATCATCAGCTGCATCATCACCCTCTTCCTTTTTTTGAGCTTGATCCAATAAATACTCATATCTTTCCAAACATTGCGCTGCTGTACGTCCTACAATAGGAGCTATTGTTCTCCATTGCGTAGGCATAAGTTTGGCAAGATGTAAAAGTTTTTCATCTTCTTCTCTGCTCCATTCTGTTTTCTTAATACTAGGATCTAACCATTCAAACCAACGTGCTTTGCACTGCTTTGCAGATTTTCTATGAAGTAACGAAGCTATACGACTCCATTGATTTTTCCCATATTTCATAACAGCTGCTTTCAAAATTTCATCCTAAACATTTTAATTAAATAAACATTTTAATAAATAAATATATATATATATATAAACTTGTTAAATATATAAAAGATATGTATGATAGGTTAAGAAGCTTAATTTACCTCTGTATTACGCCAGACACCACCTTTTATCATTATTCGCGGCATTTTTATAAATTTAAGATTTTAGATTAATTAAAAAGACAACAAATTAAATTATTGAAAAGTTATCAATGAATTATTTTACAAAAGGAAAGTTTGTAAGAAATAGCGGTTACTTGAAAACTGAAAACGCTTCATCAGACTTTATTGAATTTCACACAAGAGGTCTCCTCAGTCGCATACAAAGCTTTTTAAATCACCATACTCTATATATATCATCAATAGACACCACACAATCATTCATTATACATGTAACTTTAATAGTAGACATTACACACTACCTCACTTCCCCGATGTCACACCTTAAATAGATTATACAAAAAATTATAAATAAAAAAATTCACATTACAAATTATTATTATTTTTTTCTATTAATCTAATAACTATAATATTATAAAATTTGTAAAATTAATAAATATTTATCTTTGTAGTCAAAATAAAATGTAATAATAACTTAATTAATTTGAGATCTGTTTAAAACCAGCATTAAGAGAAAAGGATAGTAATTAATGAAACAAATACGGTCTTAACTTTTTCTTGTATTTGTTTGATTAACAATACAGATTTATAAATCATATGAAAAATGTATTTGTGTCGTTTTATTGAGAAAGTAAGATTACATAATTTCATTTTTTTCTTTCTTTCTTTTTTTTTACAATCGTAGCCTTCGATTAAAACTTCAGAAAAAGCGATACATTTTTTTTTATTTGTGAATATAACGTGTACATTACTATAACATTATTAATATGAAAGAACGATTATAATAAGTGTTTTAATATTATAGGCATCATTTTCTTTTTCATGAATGCGACATTTGTTTGAAAAAGTTTAAAATGTTTGCTACGTTATGTTGTGTAACGTAATAAAAAAAAAAAAAAAAAAAAAAAAAAGTACAAATAAGCGGAAGATTTTTTCTAAGATTATTTAATTGCTATAATTGAGTTAAAAAAAAAAAAGTGTAGCAAAATATTTTTCTTTTTTACTTCTTACTTCCGGCTTTTTTTGTAATATCTACCCTAAATAACAAATTTCAAACAAACGTTAAAAAGATATTTTGAACCAATCAATAAAATTCTAAGTTATTTGAGAATAAGTAATTAAACGCAAATTTTCTATAGGCAATGAGAAAGATAAAACAATTTTAATTAGCAATGATCTTTATACTGGGTCATAGTAAAAGAACGCTGGGATTGAATATTAAAGACAGATTGTTGCTGCCACGATCCCAATGTACCACTTCCACTTTGGCAACCAGAAGGCTGTAACTTTTTCGAAATATCATTTTGAGGGATCCAACGTGCATCTCCCATATTTTGATTGTTATTACTTTGCCATATAGATTTCGAAGTTCCGGCAGATTGTCCTTTGTTCTGCCAATTATCTTTTTGATTGGACCATGAATCCATTTTTTCGTGTTCTCTTCCCCAAGCGGACGTACTCGGTCCATCAAATTTCTGCCATCGTTCTTTTAGGCCAATACTACTATTATCGTCACCCCATGGATCCCTTGCATCTTCTGGAAGATCGTTCCAATCTTCCTTATCTCCTTGTTGATTCCAAGAATCCTTATACATTGATGAATCCCATCTATTCTTATTCTTATCCATCCAGGATTCGTCTCTGTTACCAAAACTTTCCTTTCCTCGAATATTCCAATTATCATTATTTAATGACGAACTAGAAGTACCTGACCATCTGTTGTCGGAACTTATAGCCCAGGGATCTTTTAAACCTTGCATCGTTGATGACTGTTTGGCATTCCATACATCTCCCCCACTAGAAATTCTCATTTTATCTTGAGAAGAGTCTTTAATATCCCACTTATCTTGATTAACAGTATTATGATATCTATTACCACTAGAAGCTTGTTGGTCCCAATTGGAATTAGAAGATTGCCTTTCATCGCGCCAGGATTTATCGGGTATTCTATTATTAGAATGCCAACTGCTCTGTTCAATTGCACCACGACTGGGTATGTCCCAGTCATCAGTGAATCTTTTAGGAGGTGTCATTTGACGTCTAGATGGTGATGGTTGACGTCTTAGAGGTGACATAGGACGACGCGATGAAACGATTCGAAAGGATGCTTCGAGTCGCATAGGAGATTGATGTTGTCTCTCTTGTTGCATTAACAGCCTTCTACCACTTTGCATTTCTCTACGCGAGGGAGACATCATTCTTCCAGGTGGTGATAGATGTCTTTTTGATAGAGATATTTGATGTCTTACAGGAGAAATTTGTCTCCTCGGTGATGTTATAGTTCTCATTGAAGACACATGCTGTTTTAACGGAGACATATGCCTTCTGGGTGATGTTGGACGAATAAGCGGTGACAGTGCACGTCTAGGTGGAGACATAAGTCGTCTTGATGGTGACAAGGGACGTCTTGATCCTGACATTGGACGATTTTGTGGAGAAAAAGGACGAGCTATTAAGTTATTACGCGATCTGAAGGGAGATATAGGACGTCTAAGAGGAGACATATGCCTTCTAGGTGGAGAAAGTGGTCGTCTTGGCGGAGACAAGAGTGGACGTTTCGGTGAAAATCGTCTTGAAGGAGATAATCGATGTCTCATTGGAGATATGTGCTTTCTCATAGGCGAAATAGCCTGTCTCCTTCCGCTACTAGATTCGCCCCAACGATTTTTTTCAAAACCTTTGTCTTTGTTCCAAGGCATTTCTCCAAAATATTGTTTACGAAAATCCGGCCCATGATAACGTTCTGGTGATGACTTTTGCAAAGATCTATTCAATATAGGTGCATCGTTTGTCAATGGCACGAGCATATTTGATTCTATTATTGGTACAGTCCCATATTTCTTGTACATTGGATTTATCGATATTTCTTCATTAGTTTCTAAAAATGTTTTATTTTCTTTAGTTATTAAAATATCTTTTGCACCAATCTCTTGTATGTAACGGCCTTTAAGTAACGAATCAGGCTGATGATCTTCTTTATCAATCGAATGTTCAGCTGTTTCAGGTGGTGCAATACGATCCCAAACTGAACGTGGTAGTTGACTCTGAAGTTTGTTTGTTTGTTCAAGGACCATATTCAACATGTCTTGTAATTGTTTAGCAGTCGTTATATCTACCGTAGAAGAAGATCCACTTAATTTTTCTTTCGCTATGTCTAAGATCGCTTGCTGTTCTTTTACTTTATTTACAATTTCAGGATCAACGCGATTATTGGACAATCTCTCTCTTAGATCAGTTTGATCATTGTTCTCTCTTATCTTTTTTTCATACATAGGATTAATACGAAGCTGAGAACACTCTTCTGCTCTATCCTTTTTCCTCGATGAATCTAACGATATATTATAACAGTGTTACGTTAATTTTATGTTTTGTATATTTATATATATATATTTAAATTATTATTTAAATACTTACCATCTCGCCATGGCTTGAAAACAATTTTTTCAAATTTTTTGGCGAACTTTTTCGCTGGGCCTTCATTTGTTTCAGGAGAATGAGCACGTTTCCCTTTTAATTTTCCTTTCGTACGATTAAATCCTGTCTTTTTATCATTAGTCTTTTTGGTTGACTTTTTGTTATCAGACATAGAAGATAGTTTTTCCTTAATATTATTAGCACTATTACTAGAATTTGTTGACTCCTCTGATGCTTTTGGATGCCACGGCTGTTTGAGTTTAAGCATAAAATGTCGTTCCATTAAAATTATCACTTCAAAATGTGGGCCAACCGGTAATGTATCGACTACACATGCTTTTACAGGCATAAATGGATTTCCAATGACTCTATTAGCAGGTCTAACCAGTTCTAATATTGCACGTACAGATTGTTTCGTCAAAGTAGTTATCATTACTAATCGTTTTAATGAAGAAATTTTTCGTAGACATATCATAATATCAATTGCTATAATATATAAAGACAATAATAATATATTGAATTGTTCTTAACGATTTTATAAACTTTAGAATATACATATATATTGAATAATATATATTGCATTTAAAAAATGTACACACCTCGTCCAATATTTGTATTTGCATTAATGATGGCAGAAGATTTGCAATTTTTCAATGAATTAGCTATTAGATCTGTAACTTCTGATGGTGAACCCATTATAAAAGAAGCATTATTTATGTTATTTAACTCGCACGTCATTTCTGCTTCTTCAACTTCTGATTGGGAATCAACTCCAATAATTTGTCGACATTTCTGTGAAAATATAATACATAAGGAAATACATGTATATATATATATATATGTTTATAGAAAAATATTTTTCTAATACTTACAGACGCCATCATCAATCCAATCAGACCAATTCCACATCCAACTTCAAGAACCGTTGTCGTTGATGTCGGTGATAATAAGTCTATTACTGTTTTCGCTACGTTTTCTGCACCCGCTGGGTTAGACCAAAAATTCGTTTTTGGAGCTAATTGTACTTTTATACCTCCAACAATTTCATCCAAAGCTTCTGATCCCACCAAAAATGTTGTATTCGTGACTATTGTATCATTATATCTATAACATAACAATTTTTATCATATCGTTAGCGCATACTTTTAAAAAGAAACTTACATCGAGCACAATTTTAATAAATATAATATATTGAATTCTTACTTATTCACAGATTTACAGTATAATGACTTAACGTTGCAATCTTTTCCAGATCCAGATTCGTATACTTGTTTCAAACGATCCATGGTAACGCGACTAATATTTTTTCCAGTTACAAATAGCATAAGTTCATCCATGCTATTACATCTTACTACAAGCCAAAGCCATTGTTGCTTTCCTTCAAGACTTGTTTCTTTTTTCTGATCAATTTCTATACACGTGTCGCTAGAAAATTGTTCAACAGGGAGTTGAGATTCCTCTGTCTGTACAGATTGAAGAAAGTTCTCGAATATCTGTATGATAAAACATGAAATATTAAAAATAATGGTTCTACATATCCATATTGTGTTAATAATTAAAATTTATGAAATATTGTATTATTTTGCAAGATTATTAAGCCCACACAGGAGCAT